AAATTTAATCATTTATAAAAATAATTATATTAAAAAATTAAAAATGACGCCATTTTGTTAGCATTTAAATTTGAAGTGATCATTTAAATTTGTTGAATGAGAATTTTCTGTTAAATGAAACTAATTTTGTTAACATTTGGGAACTAAAACTACATTTTTGAACTTGAGAGATTAACTCAATTTTTGCCTAAATTTAGAGGACCAAACTTATAAATTAACATTTTTTTATGATTTATTTTGTAAGCCCGATCTTAAAATTAAATGAGCCAAAAATTCTAAACAATATTTTTGCATCCCATGTTTCTCACAATCTACTGGGAAGTCCTTTGCCAAAATCAATACTCAAACCCGCTGAAGATAACTTGGCGTGAATGACAATTCAAATGCATTTAATTTGTAATCTTTTGTTAAAGAATAAAAAAGAACTCAACTGAATTTTCAGCCTCAATTGAGAAACATCTTGATGTGCAAAATACTCCTAAGCTAGACAGAGATGGAGACTAAGAAGCTATTGGACTATGGAAAAAGCATTCACATTTGACAACGATGTGGAAAACAATTGTCTCCAATTCTCATGTTTTCTGGAATCTACGGGGAAATTCTTGGCCATAGTCTATACCATCGTCCCAGACAATTTGGCGTGAATAACAATTCAAATACAAAATGACAATTTCATTTCCAACAGTTTCATTTGTAATTTTTTTTAAAGGCGTCATACAACTGATGTTATATAGTATATAATGCAGATGAAATATTTTTTTTATCCTATTTTGTAAGCCACCCCATTATATTTTTTGTATGAATGTATTATTTTAGGTTTTTTTTTACCAAAATACTATGCACGGTAAACAATATTACTCAAATATTATAAAATAAAAATTATTTACCTAAGTACTACATCCAAATTCATTCTTTGAGAGATGAAGTTTGGAAAAATGAAGAGTTCTTCATCATTTTTTTAATTTTTTTTGCATGAAAATGGTGACGGCAACTCCTGCCACCTATTTAAATAGGCTACCATCTATCTCTCTCTCTCCCTCCATTCCTCTCTGGAAGCCTCCCCCCAGTCCCTGCATGTTCCTTCCTAATCCGTGGAAACCCACATGCATAGTATCATGTCACCATTTTCAATATTTATACACCGCTCCTATTAAGATTTAATTGACTAATTTGAGTATATTAAAAATATTACTTAAATTATTTACTATGGTATGTGTTTATTTAAAATATCATAAACATCTTCCTTAATTTCCTCCTTCGTTCTCCTATTTAATTATTGTTGGAAAAATATTAATAGGATTAATTTGAAAAAAATTGATAAATATGTAAAATGGGTCTTATATATAAGGTTAATATCAACTCTTTAGGGCAAAAAGAGAAGGCACAAGGCCTGGGAAGTGCTCATTCTAGGGTGTTATGCTACCGAATTTTTTCAGTTGTAATGGGACATGATTGAATTTACATGACATTGTTTCTAAATTCAGTGAAATTTGTTTTTACTTTGAAGAATTAAACTTTCATACAAGTTAGTTGGAATTCAATGGCTTTGATTTTGTTTCATGAATGTTGTTACCAGTTATGATATTGACCTGTTGTTAGTTTGCTGTTTAATAATTTTTTTGGAGTTAATATGGTTCAAATAGAGGGTATAAAGCTTGAAATTAAAAATGCTCATTTTTAAGTCATTATGCTGCAGATTTTTTTCCCAAACCGAATAGCACATTTTTAAGTCATTATTTTATTTCATTTACTAGTTGTTAATGACTAGAATTATTAATTATCAATAGTTGGAATAGTATAACTAAAATTAAAGATGGTAACATGTGATCAGTTGTGACTCATTTATTTCCTATCTTTGTTTAATCCACTCAACATGTTTGACTCGCTGATTACATTTCTCTTAAATATTTAATGTTAGATGGGAACCATAGATAAGAAATGATTGTCTGCCAACCGCCTATCAAAGAAATATTGGGACGGCGTAGAATATTTTGTTAAGTTCGCGGTTGAGCATGCCGATAATCGCAATAGTATTATTTGCCCTTGTGTTAAGTGTTATCTCCTCAAGAGGGTTCCACCATTCGTTTGTGAGAGCTGTTTAATTATTAATGGAATTGATCAAAGTTATAAGTGTTGGACAAAGCATGGGCAGAGAAGAGATGTGGGTATTAGTAGTCTATATGAAGCTAACCGTCTTGAAGATCTGGCCAACGGGATTGAAGAGGAGCTTGAAGATTGTCTAGAAATGTTTGAGAGGTTGAAGAGTGATACGGAGACACCTCTGTATGAAAATTGTACTAATTTCACAAAAATTGCTTGCAGTTCTGGAATTGTATAACTTGAAAGCAAGAAATAGTTGGAGTAAAACAAGCTTCACAGAATTACTTTCGCTTTTGCAATAAAGGCTACCAAAGGAAGATGAACTTCCAAGCAAAATGTATAATGCAAAACAGGTGTTGCGCTTTGTCAGACTGAGCTATGAGAAGATACATGTTTGCCCCAAGGAGCTCCCAAGCAAAATGATTATATTTTTCTACCTAATTTTAAACAATCATTAACATTTAATTTTATTGTATTCTCAAAGCTCTGTGGCTGTTCCACACGAATCAAGGTTCAGCATACCTCCCGGTCAAAGGCGACTTATTTGATTTCGTGTTCCCATGAAAAAAAGTAAAGGTATTCATCACCATTAACTATTCAACCAAATATAGTTTATCATTATATCATCATTAATATGTTTTCTTTCCCCTTTCTTTATAGTGCCCATTGCAACCAGACAAGAGCTCAGATTGTGGATATTGTGTCATGAAGTTCATGAAAGAGATACTTGTACACAATGCTGACACAAGCCCTACTAAGATAACATATATTTATTCATAATTCAATTTATATTTATGTTAATTATACATTTATACCTAATGTCATTAATTTCTTTGTTTTTTGCATACAATACTTTGTGGATACATATTGCATGCAATATTCATCTAGTTAGAAAGAAGAAATTGTAGAAGAGTTGGCAATGGCATTGTACTGTTAGTGGACACAGAATAGATGGACAAAAAAATTAGTATTTGTCTTCTTCTTTTTTTAATATTTCTCATGGTTTAATGTCTTATGCTTTTGGTTTTGGTATTTGAACAATTTTGTTATGGTTTTTGTAAATAGCCAATTTTGGTTTTGGTTTAATACTTGACAAATTTTGTTTTGCTTTCTCTTATCCAAGCTTCCTTTTGTATACATTGTATGATTTTTGGTTTCTTAAAATATAATATCAATTTCTATTTCTAATTTATTAGTTGGATTGATATATATATATATGTTTTTATTCTGTTGCTGTCTTTTGTTTTCAAAATGCCATTTTTTTTAAAAAAAATCCATAATACTTGACGATTATTCGTTATAACTGTCAAGTATTATACACATATTTTACAGTTATAACTAATAACCGTTAAATATATACATAATACTTGACGGTTATAGCAAATAACCATCGAGTATATTTAACACATACTTGACAGTTATTTATCAAAATTGTCAAGTATGTTAATCGTTAAGTATTTGTCAACAATACTTGACGGTTTTTAGTTAAAACCGTCAAGTATTATGTCAAATATTTAATGGTTATTAACCGTCAAATATTATTTAGGCAAATATTTGATGCTTCCATATTTGATGGTTATATACCGTCAAGTATAGCGAAAAATAACTGTTAAGTATTCATATATTTTTGTAGCAGTGAATATTTAATATTACCTATATGATCTACTTGGTAATTTTCCTTCTTCATTAAGGTGAGTATCATATTGTTATCCAAAAAAAAAAAGGTGAGTATCATATTAAGGATCCGAAACAGTAATATGTTGTAATTCCCTCATCAAATATACGTGTTGCTTCCGCATTCTAAAATTTTTCTTCTTGTTTTTTTAAGTCACTGAAAACTTTTGGACAATATATTTTGTTAGATAGCACAAGTATTAATATTATAAGATTTATTATCTTCTGATAAACACGAATTATGTATTCTAACGTCTACTACATTTATTTAATTTGACAATGTTATGGAGTACGTAAAAATATTACTATGTTGAACAGAAAGATTCAATGGGCACATTCTGGGAGGCCAGCAAATACTCCATTTAAACGCCACACTAGTGCCTAACACATTAATTTATTAGTGCCTCCACAGGGGCAATAAATGGGCAATGAATCTTACAAAATATTCTAAATACATGTAAAAGCTACACACACACACATGACAAGTGCTGGCAAACATATATATTTATGACAAGTCAGCATATGTATTTATTTTTATTCATGAATCACATCTAACTCTGAATTCAAATGTCTCGTAGGAGTAATGGCACTTGAATTGGTTGAAGCAGTGAAATCAAACGGGGTGGGGGGGCACCTTTAGCTTATCCACTTCTCCTTCTATCATTTGTATCACTGTTCTCAGGGATGGACGATTTATTGAATGCCATTGAATACACCAAAATCCTATAATTGCTAATTTCTTAGCAATGCTAAGGTCAACTTCATCATCCATGTAAATACTTATATCTCCTCCTTCAACCAAATTATGGATCCATTCTGGATATAAAACTTGAAAAGTTTCTTTATTGGAATCAATATTTTTTCCTTCCACCGGCCATTTCTAGGAGCAGCATTCCATAACTATAAATATATGATTTGTACGTCACATGTCTAAAATTTTGAGAGAAAACTTCAGGAGCATTATATCTTATGGTTCCCTTTGCTACTGTCATTGACACCATACTTTGATTTTTTTTTTTCAACACAATTTAGCTAGGCCAAAATCAGAAATTTTAGGAATGAAATTGTCATCTAATAACATATTACGAGGATTGATATCAAAATGAAGGATTCTATTATCGCAGTCTTGGTAAAGATATTCAATCCCCTTTGCTATGTCAAGAGCAATTTGTTGCAGCTTCGACCATCCAAGGAAATTTTCTTTATCCGGGGAAGTTATAAACTTTTTAGAGGGAACCATTAAGAAAAAAGTCATAAACAAGAGCACAATGAAGACCCTCAGCACAAAAGCCCAACAAACGAACACCATTTATGTGATGAATTTTGCCCATTGTCCCCACTTCATTAATGAAGTCTTTTCGATCGTTATTATTGAGTACTTTGACAGCCACTTGAACTTCAGAAGATAGCTTACCTTTGAAGACTGTTCCATGTGCCCCTTCACCTAATATATGCTTGAATTGGCCTGTGATTCTTTTAATATCAGCATAAGAGAATCTGGCAGGTTTAAGTGCCTCGTAATCCGCCAAGAACTTTCCAAGTCTTGATTGATCATCTCTTTTCTTCTTGACGTAGATGCATATGCCAACGAACACAATCAACAGCAAAGCTTGCACAACCGGAACTGCAGTTATAGGAGCACAACAATCGAACATTGAATGTCAATCCAAGCAACATACCAGACTCTAATGAATGAAAAAATAGAGGAAAATCACAGCATATTGTCAACTGTTCCCGGGTAAATAACTTTGATGATCGGCATTATCCCATGGTCGGGTCTCGCTATTGTTTCGATCCACTGCAGTCATAAGTTGTTCTCCTGAAGATCCTCTGCGGGTATGGGCGAACGTAACCGTAATATCATGGTGCAGGAAACTAGGTCCCCGGACAGGACGCTGTCGTGGGAGCCAAGAGCAAGAATCGGACAGGAGTGGGACGCATATCCCGACCCAGCCGAAGAACAATTGAAGAAAGTAACATTTTGTGGACGCAGATAAGGGTACTTTAAAGGAAGAATATTGGATGAATTGTAGAGATGGCGTTGTAGAAAGAGTCTGGCAAGGCAATATTCTGGATCACCTGTGTCTAAGACGTGGGTTTCATTGTCACCTGTTTCACGAACGAAAAGATTGACTCCTTGAAGAGCAGGAATAGACGGAAACTTTACCATGAATTTGCCGTCATGATAATAGCGACGGAATGGACGAGGTAACTCTGGCCATTCCCTCGTTTGAGAAGGAACACCCAAACCTGCAGGCTTATCGCCAGCGACATAAATCTGCCATAGCAAAAGGATTTTTTTTTTTTTTTTTTTGTCAATCTGAAACTTGGAATGAAATAAAAGCAAGGGGATGCAACATGTAGAAGATGATTGCGGGACTATATGAATTGTTTGAGGTGGCGCGTGCTTAACAACTTTGGGTTGACCCATATTTTTTTAAATTTTTCATCATATATTTCTTAAAAAATTACAAATAAATGAACCAGATTTTTTTTAGAATTTTTAACAATCAAACGTTTAAGTAATGGCAGATAAAAATATTTTTATTTTATATAGATAGAAATTCAAAGGGGCAAAATTCGGTGAGGCAAAAGAGCAGGGAAGCTGAGCCATATAAATAAGAAGGATGGGATGGAGGTGAGAAGAAAAGGCGCCGATGGAAGCATTCATAAGCGCTGCAGCACTGGGAACAGGGAAAGGGTTATGGTGTTGGTGTTCAGTGTTCTGGCTCTCTCTGCTTCTAATGGACGCAGCTCTGAGTTCTCAACTCCCCAACAGCAAATCATGTACTTCTCGTTGCGGCATTATCACAGATATCTCATCTCCATTCCGACTACCAAATGACTCGCCCCTCTGCGGCGACCCCAACTACGAGCTCGCCTGTGAAAATAACGTCACTCTCCTTCATCTGAACTCAGGAACATACAAAGTGCTGGGAATAAACTGCAGCAACTACACAATCCGACTCGTAGATGCTGGCATTCAGGAGAGTGATTGCTCCTCCCTCCCCCTATATTTATCCCAACAAAATTTCAGCAGTCTGAATTATGAAAGTCCCTATAAAACTAGTACTCTAAACGGCGACAGATTAACCAGGCAGGTGGGATACCTGAACTGCAGCGATCCAGCGAGGGACGACGCAGCTTATGTGGATACGGCTCCCTGTTTGAATTGGGGTTCCAAAGGAGGAGACCATGTTTACGCTGTAGCTGGAGACTTGCTGGCCGATCAGTTTAAACCTCAGTGTCGTCTGAAATCGGTGGCCCTCATAGACTCAGATTGGGAATCATTGGTGCCTGGTGGAATAAAGTCCCATGCTGATATTCACACACTGATTTCCTTTGGATTTCAGCTTTCATATTTGATACGAACCTGCGTCACCCCACTCGGAACAAAATCCGATTGCCGTAAGTATCCGATTCCTATTTCAATCAGATTATTCAGCCCTCCTTTCGATATGACTGTTAGCTCTCAAACGGAACCTCATTTTTGGTGGCATGAAGAATTCATCCCCTGCATCGCCTGAAGTTAGAGTTAATTTAGATGTTCAGATACTATTTTTTGGGAAACTTATAATAACTTCCCACCTAAAAAATTAAATATAAAAATAATCTTTTAAAATTATCAAATTATTTTGAAATCCTAATATATTTCATTGTAAGAGATTCCATGTATTTAACTATCAAATTGTCCTTTTTTTTTTTTAAATATGTATTGACAACTGAAAGTACAATAGCTAACAACTTAAGATATAAGAATTCACAACCATCGTGACAAATATTAACAATTTGTACATTATATTTTTGTGATGTGTTGAGAAAATATGTTGTTAATACATACCGTGATAGTTGTTAATCATTACACCTTAAGTTGTTAATGATTGTTTTTTCAGTTATCAATGCTTACTTTAAAAAAATAAATACAATTTGATAATTAAACTAAAGTCCTTTGGAATTTAGATTTTAAGAGGCTTTTTTGTATTTAATTCTCTTAGAATTTTATTGTAACATTCCCTTTTTTTTTTTACGCTTTTTTTTTTTTTGCCGGTAAGCACCTGTTTTTATCCACCTGGCTGAGTTAATTATTGGGTCGGTGATGCAGGGGTGCCAGAGTCGCTTATAGCTGCTGAAGGTAACAAACATTCGATCTTTTTTCCCTCTTTTTTTTTTTTTTTGTTGATACAAAGGTAACATTCGATTTTGACATTTCTACAAACATAACCCTTTTTTCTCCATCTACAAATTATTCTATACATGATTTACAGAATTTAATTTTAAATAAAATTATTTTATTAAATATTTTTCTTACAAATACAGGAGTCTCTTAAAAATATTTTTTATTTATCATACAGAAAGATCAAGACATATCATATTTCCTTTTTTATTCAATGACATAAGTGTTATTTGCATTATTTGCAAGAGTTATATCTAGTAGAATAGGTTAATATCTTATAATATAGTAAACTAAATTTTAAATTCCTGTTGAAAAATGTATACACATGCCCATTTAGTAGTGTCAATAATTAAACAAGCCTCCAGTAGCAAAATATCTATGCTTAATTAAAAAAACAAAGAGGTTATTTTCATTTATTAAATTAATATTATTTTAATTTTTCTCCATCTTGTTATTTTGCATAACAGGATATTTATCATATTTTTTGACTCAAAAAGTCTTGTAATTTCAATGATTTGAAGAATATTTTGTATCATGCGCGTCCTTAACGTGGTTGACTTTTGTGAAATTTCTTACAGACTTTCTCGATGGAATTGCAACAGGTAACTTTTTATGATTCGCGCCATGCCTTTTCCCTATTTCTCCCACACCCACTTTTTTTTTTCCCCCCCCCGGAAATCTTCTTTGTCATGCTCGTGACTTTTTTAACCTGCTGGTGTTTATTTCAAGTTAAATAATTTGTTGAATGCAATTATATATGCTAGATATTTTTAGTCTTAATAAGTTCACCAAGAGCAGCAATTGATTTAGCGTTTATTCTGTTTTTTTTTTTTTCAATTCTAGCATCTATATTTGGTTGATTTTGAAATGCACTGTGATTATATACCAAATTAAACTAAAATATTCTCCACAGCGTAGAGGAGGCTTAGGTTGATTTCACTTTGTGGAGTTTAATCTAATTAAGCCTAAATTGCTTAAGGGCAGCAACATAACAAGTTATAATAATAACAATGGTGGTTTGGTTTAGCCAAATGCATGGAAACTAAAATGATTGCTAAGACTACTAGCTATATCAAGTTGATTTTTAGAGTGAAAATGGTAATGAACGAACACAAGATGATAATCAATCCTTAAGAAGTGAGTGATTTAGGCATCCTTGTCTTTATAATTGAACCAGATCAACCACTCCATTAGGTATTAATGAGTCTAATTAACCCACAAAGCTATACTACAATTAAATCCCTAAAATCTCCCATGAACATATAGTGTTAGTGTTATCGCGTTAGTGTGCGCGCGTGCATTTGCAGCGTGCATATGAGCGAATTGATATTACCTAATGCGCATCTTAATGTTCTCATTCCTCTTGTGGAAGCCTTAACAATGCCCTTTCAATGAGCCTCAAATTGATCATATTAACTAGGAACAATAATGGGAAATATCAACATTTTCTCCAAGTACCCTCAAAATGAGGGGTTAAAAAAAGGATATTCGTTACACGCAAAATTTTAAATTAGGTATGCTTTTGTTGGGCCAAGGGGAAATAATTAACGACAATTAAGCCCAATCCACAGGCTCAAACTTTGGGATTTTCTTTTGGGTTTCATTGGTAAATGTTTGGTCCTGTTGTGGGAGTGCTCAATTTGGTTATTTGGGTTTACACTTCTTCCTATTCTAGATGTATGAGCTATCAACGGTATTCGTTTTGCTTTTAAATCTCAATTTATTCTGTCGACCAAATTTATAATATTTTTCGTAAGTGACATGTTAAAGAGACTTTTTATTAAAAGCTAGTTTTTGACCCAACATACATTTTTTATAAATAACTAATTAAATTAATATTCTTAATATATACAAATTAATTATCTATCTCCCACATTTAAGACAGAAAGAAGTAGCAATTTGGAATTAAACAACGTATACTCAACCCCACGTGAATTTTAAAATTACATATCTTAGATTTATGAGTAAATTATAACTATTATAGGACAGAGATTGTTTCGATTTTGTAAAACTTTTCTTGAGGAATATAAAGGAAGATCTTGTTTGTGCTTTAGTAGAAATATGACGTTAGGGGATTTCTTTCCCACAAAACTTTCAATTTTTTCCCAATTAGTCGTATTCTTCTGACTCGCCAGTTTTATGACCCTTATGAAAATAAACATTTGCAGGACTGAAAGAGATAGTGGGGACGAATTTAACTTATGATTACCATAATGACTACAATACTAGCCAATCAACAATGATTGCAAGAAAATTAGGAATAGTGACTGGAAAAGCTGTTTTGCCTACAATCGCAGTCAGATTTTTACTGGGCATCATATTCCTGATTGTGTTGTTGGAATATACATGCAGAAGATGGAAATTATTAACGGATGAAGACATCGAAGACATCATACGATTTCATAACATCATTCCAATAAGGTACTCCTACAAGGATTTGTTGACAGTGACAAAAGGTTTCAACAAAAAGTTGGGTGAAGG